TTGATAGATGTGTATATTGTTCATCTATTTTTCTCTGCTACTTTTACATTTATTCAATATTTTTCTTTGTATCATAATGAACAGCGTAGCCATTAAAACGCTACAAAATAATTAAAATGATGACAAACTGACATGTCGCATTTTTCATCATCAAAATCTTTATCCAAGTCTGACTGGTTCAATTCACTTGTGAGACAGTGAATATTTTTTGTTTCTCTACACCTTATCAAGATTTGTTTTCTTTCTCCAATATTTCTATGTATTATAGCCTGTTTCATTGGATAACTTGTGGCAATCATGGTTTAAATATTTTAAATTTGCAATGACATTTCCTATTTACTGGAATAATTGGTTTTTGTTTCTGGATGGATATTATATTTATATATATAATATGAACAACTATTCTTTCTTTATTTTATAATCTTTATTTTATTTTCTTGAAATTTATTTTACATTTTTATCCTTTTTTTTTTTTTTGCTTGTATATATCATGAATTAAACAAAAATATTAATTATATTTTTTAGAACTTTATAAAAAAGTTTAAAAAGATTTAAACTTAATACTTTGTATCTTATTTTACTAACGATGTATATAAATAATTCTATAAACACTCATTTTTAAATTCTTAAATAAAAATGAGTATAACTCTTAACTTCTTAAAACCATTTACATTTTAATTTTATATTTATCACTTACATTTTAAACTTAAAAACTTCTTTTTTTTTTTTGTATATTTTTAGTAAAATACCTAAATATAAATAGTGAAAATTCATCACTCTTTCAAAAATTTTTCTATTTTTTCCAGAAGTAGAAGGCGATGAGTGCATGGACATAGGATCAGATTGCGCGGAGCTGATTGACAGGCTGAGAACATGGCTGTGCCATTTGCAATCTGTGAAAAGTCGCTGCTGTGCATCCCTAAGGACGATCTGCGCCGCTTGATGAGTAGTTGAAAACAATTTTTCCGGTTCGTTCAAGAGTCACGTGGCTACGCATCCACAGACTACCATAAATCCGACATCGAACACTCAGCGCGCATTCAGCATGCGTACAGCTCATCGAGCAGACTATATTCATCGAGAGATCGGGATTTAGGCGAATCATGTGATCTACGATGTCATTGGGTCACAATGATTTTGAAAGACAGACATCTCACAAAGTTCTCAAAGTTCTCGCGGTCGCAACCGCACAAAGAATGAATGTGCAGTTTATTAAGTAGTTACATAATCTCACTGTTACCCAGAATATAACTTCATTCTTTCTTTTTTCTTCTCTTTCTTTCTTTCACTTTTTTTTTTTTTACGATAGTACCGCAGGAGCTTTGTACAGACAATGGGTGTGAAAACATAAATGTGTCGAGTTACGAACAGAAATGTTCGATCGATATATTCGGTAGATTCGATTGCATATTTATTCAATGCACGTGAATCGCGCGGGAGATTTTTGTGTTATGATAGAATGTGTGCGCGCATACGCGTATGCGTGTTAGTACAGACGCGCAAGTGCACGTGAGAAAACGAGCTTCCTCTAAAAACATGAGAATTATAGCGCAAGAAATAAATGATTATACAATGAAATTGTGTATCCCTTTTTCTTGATTTTTTTTTTTTTTTTATAAACCGACGATTTCATACAAATTTGTTAAAAAAAAAAACATTTTATCATTAAAGTTATAAATACATTCTCAAGTATTTTTTTTTTATTTAGGCTGACTTTTAATCATTAATTACATATCGGAACTATTTTTTTGAATTCATAAATTTTAAAAAACAAGTATAAACAAGGAAAGCAAATAGTAAAAGAACAGAGAGGGTAAAAATTAACGCCATCTCTAGAGTGCCGTGAAAAATAAATATAGATAAAAAAAACAAATTATAAGAAAAAGATAAAAATAAGAATTGATTATCAGTGTCATCTTTTGAGTGCCAAACATATTTTTAGAAACAGAACAGAAGATAAGGTAGAATAAGAAATGATTATTAATGCCATCTTTTGGATACTTTATTTTGTTTTTGGAGAAATATCTAAAGAGATGGCGCTGATAGTTAATTCTTTTTATTTTACCTTTTTCCAAATTTTCTATTTTTTTTTTTCTTTTTAAGTTTCATTTCTTGCACTCTGAAGATGGCGTTGATTTCTGAATTTTTATTTTATCTCTATCTTTTTCTATTATTTGCTTTCCTTATCTATATTTATTCTTGGCGCGTGATTACAAATTCGAAATGAATTGAACATATTTTCGTTACTTTTCTTTTAAAAAAATACAATATATACCAATAAAAACTCTTCATATATATATCTACAATATATGACAGAATATTTGTTTTTTTATTTTTTTATTTATAATTTTATATGGAAATCGATTTTCAATATTTTCAATCATTACTAATGTTTCAATCTTAATTTGAATCGAATGATGAAACTCTAAAGTGAAAAAACATCTAGTATCATGTTTGTTTAGTAACTCCTAGAGAAAATATTTAAAAAAAAGCATTGAATGTTAGATCTATTCTATACCTCATCTGTATTTTACCTCTTAACAATCCTGGATTGATCTATTATCTCTTAACAACCTATTCTAGTATCTCATAACAGTCTTGGATTGATCTATTATCCCTTAATAACCAATTTTACTCTCTCTTAACAATACTTGTTCATAAATCAATTTTGTAATATTTCTATTGTACACAAATAATATATATTATTCATTCTATGTAAATATATTTTTAATTTTAAATTATTAATTAAATTTTGTATTCAAATAGAATTACATATATATTGTAATATAAATTTTTCTAAAATGAAAATTATAATAATAATATTTTATTTTTTTTTATATAATAATTGTTTTGATAAAAAATAATATATGTGTTGAAAAAATTAGAAATAAAAAATGAAAATTTTTTTGTATAAAAAATAGAAATAAGAAAACTAATTAAGAAATATTTAGATGATGATTGATTTGTGTGATGATTTATTTATCAAAATTATTTTATTTAATAATAATAATAATTTATTTAAATATAATATAAATAATATTAATTTTGTATATACAAATAAATGATATAAACAATTTTATTTAATACAAATTTGTTAATAAATGAATATATATGAACAAAGTCTTATATGCAATATGAAAACACATCTTAAAATAAAAAATATATGAATTATATTTATGATATAATGATTTATAACATTATTGTTACTTAATGAAAAATAGTTTAAAATATAAGTGGATATACACATAATACAAACATAACTTAAGATATATATCAAAATAGTAATATTAATAACATTAAGAATAATTTATATATACTAATATAATAAATAATAATAAAACATATATTGATATCATTGAACAATTTTTGGTTCTATTCCTATTTCTTCATATAACTCATTTTTACTACCAGGATAATTATCCAATATACAATCTAAAATTTCAGTACATAAACGTTTCCGTTTTACATATTCACGTGAATAATCATTTAATGCTTTTTCTGCTTTTCTTTTAGATTCAGTTAAGTCCTCAGTTCCACTTGCCTCCATTAATGCATCCAATTTATTTTTCAATTCTATAATTCTCTGTTGAGTTAAAACTTTTTGTTTTTTTGCTTCTTCAATTGTGATAGAAGATTTCATAGATAACAATAAAGCCTCTTGTACTTTAATTTCTCTTTCTAATTCTTGATATTTACTTTCAACTTCATTAGCATGCGCTTGTAATTCTTTATCTATTCTCATTAATTCTTCTACATCAAGAGATGAATCTTGAATTGGACAATAAAGTTTTTGTTTTCCATATACCTAATGCAAAAATCAATTTTTTACTATAATCAATTTATTTTATTATATTATTATTATATTATATTTCATATTATATAATAAATATTCTACTTTTTCAAATATTTTTCCTTCAGCTACCAATTTATCTACAGCTTTTTGTACAGCTACTTTACCATATTCATTATGGAGATTTGAAACTAAATCATTAATACTATATGGTCTATTTTGTATTTTCATATATTTATATACAGTTTCTGCCATTGTTGCTATTAATTTTTTATATTTTTTTTTCTATATTGTATTTAAAATATTTTTGTAGGTTATTTTATTTTCTAATTAAAAAATTAATTTCATTAAGTACAATAATAATTATAGCAATTTATTCACTATGTTATTTTTATTGTTAAAATTAATTCTTTGTGTTATAAATACTTACAAATATTATCATACACCATTTGTAAGATTAATTGAAAATATTGATCTATAATAAAAAACATTTAGGTTAATACCTTGCAGATTTTATTATTAGAATCACAAAATTAATTTTTATAACAAAATATAAAAGAATATAATTATAAATTAATTATTTTACTGATATTTTTATTATTACATATTTTTTATTCTATTAATATTATGTATAATTTTATTATGATCAACATGCAACAAGTGTTTTTACTAACTTCATAGATCACATGATCTTAAATGAAATTAAACCTTAAAAGCAGAAAATTTAATAAAATATTACATAAAAAATATTACATAAAATATCAGGAAAATAAATGATAATAATAGAATAATAATAATAATATTTATAAAAATTAAAAAAATCACTTTTAAATTTTTTTTTTATGAAAAATCGAAATTTTTATATTTTTTATTAGATATTGTTATAAATAATATTAAAATCAAATGTTATTTATTTAAATATACACTTATATATTATTATAATATTTTTTTTTTATTTTAATCAATGTAATATTTATTATTTTTTATACTTTTATATATACATTTATAAAACTGTATACATTTGTTATCTTCTAATTATTCATACTACGAAAGTTAACATATGAATCTCAATATTTATGTTAAAAAAGAGAGATAATAAAAGCAAATGAAAAAGAATATCGCAATTTCGATTTTTATTTTCTAAGATACTATAATAAATTACTATTAATTATCCTTAATTAAAAATAGTCATTTCATCATACTTGGACTCATTTTAATCAGAATGATCTTGTGAATTCATTAACAACATTAATATTATAATAGAACAAAAAATTAAATTTTTTTGTTAAAATAATAATTCATCGATTCTTATCTTATCAGATCGTGTCCTGACAGCTTCAAAGGTTCATTTGCTTAAGATGATTTTAAAATCTGGTGGGGATAGTGAAATTACATATGCGATACATTTCAAGTTACGTTTTCTAAGACATTACTGTATTGGAAGTAAATTTCAAAATATAAATTAGTATATGGAAGAGTAATTTACTAGAATTTATTGTGTATACTTATACCAAAAGATGTCAATGTGAATAGAAATTGCTTGTTAAAAATAATAATAAACAAAATGAATTTTCTTCGGAATAGTGCGAATAGTGTTATCAATAAATGTTCTGCCATTAAAACGGGTGAATTAGTTATTAGTTATATGCATTATATCATTTGACATATCATATATCTCAAATTATTATAATTGCGATATACAATCATTTAAGTGCGAAAATACATTCATTCTCAAAATTTAATAGCTAATAATTTTATTTAATAATAATATTATATTGTTAATAAAATTGTTGGATATAAAAGAATCAATTCTATACACCAATCAATAAAAAAGTTTTTAATGTAATAAAAAATTAATGTAAAAAAATATCAAAAAAAGTTTATTTTTTCCAATTTCAATTTAATTTTATATTAAAAACAACTCTATATAGACAATTAGTTAGATCATCAATTTAATTCTTGTTGATCAAATGATAAGAAATGATTAGTAACATACCTTAACATTGCTAACCAAACAAAATTCCACAACGAAATCTTTTCAAAACATTTACATTGTATTAATTCAAATATAATTAAATTGATATTATTGATTATACTGAAAAAGTACATTATAGAAAAAAGATTTTTATAATTTTCTATTATATAAAATAATTAATTCGTCAACATAATAACAAATACGATTTAAATTATTTCTATATGTTAGTTCTATATTAATTGTATAACTTAAAAACCTGTTGATAGACATTTCTTTCTACCTTACTCATTCTTAATATTCATTACTCTTTTTGTAACACTACTGAACCGAAGATAGGAGAGAGTTGAAACTCGATACATATCTATATTTCGATCACGCAGTAATACCATATTTGTCATGAAAAGTGTATATACATATATATATATAACGCATATTTATTAATCAGAAAATAGTTAAAATCAATAATAAATATGATTTATCAATGTGAGTGAGTGAAATTAAAGATAAACATGATTTTTCAGTTTGTAAATGAGTGAAACCAAAGAAAAGTTTATTAAAAATAGAATTCTTTTTCTCTACACAATTCTTCGTGTAATTCTAATGGATCGAAATATATATCATGATTGGTATTGTATTAATCAACAAAAATAATAACAATTACATAGTACATGTATCAATTTTTATAATGATATATTTAAATATCTTTATATTTACTACATGATATTAAAATTTCAATATATTACCGCATATACTGAAATAATAAAATAATAAAAATATATTTTTTTAAAGATTTAATTAATAATATTGAGATAT